TCGTAGACAGAGGTGAATTTCCCGCAAAAAAATCTTTTCATAAGGCAACAGTAATAAACTATCTGTTTTACTTTTATCATTTGACACGATTCAAGCCCTTTATGGGACTTGAAGAATTTCTTGCCTTCATACTTCAAATATTAGTGACATCTTCAGTGAAAGATACTTAAAGGACGTAGATAAGTTTCATTTGGGAAATGTCACTTCAAAATCGTCGGCACAATGTCAGCCATTCATCATGAATAACAATATGTACACATAAAGGATAACCCGGAAGACAATAAATAATACATAACGGGCGGAAAATTTGACTGTCGAGATCACGAAGACTCGTCGGTGAATGAGTCGCACAGTTTAGGTCGTAATTGACTTACTTCAAAAATGATGCTCTTGCCGTGCACAGCTGACCTCGGTATTGTATTTCCAATAAACAGATGGAATTTAAAATGGGCCAACCGATGTAGATATGATGACCTAAACAATGGGAATAGAGAGCGGAAAGGCACGGCGCCTGGATTTAAAAATGTGCTCACGGGCATTAAATTCAACAAATCTCTCAATAGCTCTTAGTTCACTGTAACCTATAAGCAGTGGCTTGTGGTATTGAGTTGAATTTGTCAAAGATTTTGTCCATTCACTTACGAATCCAAAGACTCGACAACTAGATTATTACGTGTATACAGGCATCTGATTGTTTTATTATGCAGAACGGGAGTTTATTTTGTTGGCTGATCGGGTCAGCTTTATAAACGCCACTTCTAAAAAACACACCTGGGTACCAAGGTTTTAAGTGCCACATACGCAGTATTTTATGTTATTATTTACCGTACTGGTAGCACGAGCACTAGCTAAAAACCTAAACACGTCTTTCGCAGATATACGGGCGCAGCCGGAAATTTGATGTACAGTTCTGCGAGCGCTACAAACAAAATTCCTAAATTTGTAAATTTTTGATTATTTCTCCAATACCAGCGGTAGCGCATTTACGAAAACTTATAAATAATAATGAGCAAAGAATTATACGAAGTACTAAGTGTTAGCTAAGAAAAATAAAATTCCCAGCTTGTGGAGACGACAAAAAATGGCTTTAAATTAGATCAATAAATTTAAATAGTTTGTTAAGTATAA